TATTGTAATATTGTTTCATATTCAATTACCCACTGCTCATGTGGAACAATACATGCTAGTATTTGTATATTTTAAAACTCAAATTGTTGTTATTTAATATTTGCCCTGCCCCGCCTTTATCCCGAGGACCGTGTGTCAGACGACAACCGCTAGTCAGGATCGTCGACGCAAACAACAAGACCAAGAAAGCAAGAACAATAATGACTTACAAATTGTTATTTTGTTTATTGATATGAATAATTGCTAATTAGTACATATTATATAAATTACATATACATATATATAAAATTAGATACATAATAATACAATATGAGCACCCTATTAAGCTAATATTAAGTCAAGGAACACACTGTCGATATTATGATGTGAATATGTCATATGCATAGGCGCAAATAGGGGGGCCTTTAGGGACTAAGCCCTCCCAAAAATTTCCATAGCCCCCCAAACATTTCCTACATTTAGTTTTWAGCTTGTTCAATATTATCAAAGTAAGGCTTTCCCCCCAAAATCCCAAACGTTATTTGCGCCTGTGGTCCTGTGGCACCTGTTTTAAACGGAGACCGAACCCGCCAAAACGGCTGGCAGTGCCCTAAAAGTTTACTGCCGGTTGACGTCATAATTCAATGGAAAGAATGATAAATTAGCTGTTTCTTCCATGAATGCGCTCATTGAACCAAATTTTGTAATTATGTGATCATACCTAGTTAGCCATGTGCTGCGGTAGAAAAACGTTGCCGTACAACGCAAACAAAACAGAATACATGTGTTTAAATCGAGGTGGCCACACTGTGCGGTATCGTCCTGTGCCGTGTGGTAAAAAAAAAAACAATAATGTAGGATTGAACTGGTATTCCCGGCATATTTGATCATAATAATTAATGATTATTTCTTATCATATTATCATTATCGTAATAACAAATTTTGCATTCTGTGTTAAAATTTTAAACTTAAAAAATATACTTATAAAGTATAAAAGAAATTATTATTAAAATAATGTTTGATTGCGAAAGACTAATCGTAGAAGTAGAGTCCAGGCCATTCCTGTGGAATATAGGACTTCACGACTATCACGATAGTGCCAAAAGGAAATTAGGATGGAGATCCGTTGCAGAAGTGTACTGCTGGACATGATTAAAGATCGTCCTAACTACGTTGTTGCTTTTGCAAAACTGAATTAAAATTCAATTTTAATAATATAGCGCCATGCGGTGATAACGTAAAGTATGGCCTTTACGTGCGTTGCGGTGTCACCGCAATCGCCGTCAACGCACGCCGCAAAAACGCATAGTGTGTTCCGAACCTTATCGATTACTTGTTTCATGCACGATTTAATATATCTTTTTATGCAGCGTGTAAGAAAACGTTTACAACTTCTTAATTATTGATTATTTGATTATCATGATGAACTATCGTATACCTACGTAAAGTTATCAATTTTGTGTTTATAATGTTTTCAATTAATTTTGAATAACACCCACCCTTAGAAATTTCTAGCTACGCGCCTGTCTACCAATATACATCTAAATTACTCTTAGATTATACCTATCATAAAAAAATATCATTAATAATATCATCAATTATATTATTTATGGTTAAATATGATGTTCAACGAACAATTTGCCACGCTATATCTGATTTGAGAGGACGTAAAAACAGTTCGACTTTGAGAAATATTTTCAAAAATAATAATATCTGTGCGCTGCCGAATAAATATCGAGTGCGTTTACAATATACCTACCCCAGTCATTATTTGTGTAAACAACAAATTGGCTCAACGGCTCAACACGATTTAATTTTGATTTGCAGCCGCTGTTAACTATTATGTACTTACTATAAAATGGCTCATGGTATTTGTCGTTGATGATGACGTGCACAATATAGGATTATTAAACACACATTGTCACGTTTAAAATTACGTAGATACTTAATGCTTTACACATGTATACAATATGGTCAAATATGCTGTATTATATACATATATATAATACCTATCTCGAACTTTTGATAATATTATGTTAAATTTTATGAAAAAAACAACATCCAAACGTTCGGATTTCAACATAATATACATATTGTTTCGTATAAGAAAGCCCCTCAAGGATTTACCCATTGCGATATATCACGAAATGATGGAGATATCAAAATTCGGTATATTTCTGTTTTACCGGACACCCTTTTTTTTGTTGCAATTTTTGTTATTGAAACTTATGAAGTTAAGTATGCTAAAAACGATGGTGAAGTCAGAATTTGGCGTGCGGACTTTTACTAAACTTATAACTTCGTAAAATGATACCGTATTAGCTCAATTACGGATAGAAAGATTTCAATACATTATCCATCTTTTATTTTTTCAATAATTTATAATATACATGCATTACGAATGTATCTCGTAAATTATTTTCAATTGCTGCCATTAAGTCTTGGATTTCTATCCATGCAGTTCTGACAGTGCAGGTACCTATATACCTTATTTGACCTAAATTTCAAACAAATATTTTAATATCCTTTGCTACAATCGTTACAACAGAAAAAATCCGGCGCATTCGAATTGTGTTTCTAAATTATGGTTCCAAAAATATCGTTCGTATTGTAACTATAACGCGTAAGATTCCTACGCTGTACGACACAGAATAATAGCATATACTTATATAGATATGATATAAAACCTATCTATATAATATTATATACATTATATATATTAATCATAATTTTGAAAACTTCAACAAGAAATAATGTATTATGAAATTGATTGTTATAAATAAACCACAAACAATGTATGAATATGTGATTTTTGATAATGTATTATTTTATTATATTGGTTACTGGCTAGGAGGTGGATCGCGGAGAATGTCTAAACGCACCAAAGAATATTAGCAGTACATAACCGACATAATATCCCTCCCTTATGGACAACTGGCCACTTTTATATCAAACATTCTGTCATCGACACTACCTACTATTTGGAGTTACTGACTTAGATATTATACTTTTCACGTTCACAAATCAAACTATTCATAAATTGGTTGTTGATTTCATAAAATTTGATCAGAACGTGTGAGACGTTTTTAAATTCCTGCAATGGACACACATTCTATTCATTTCGTGTAATGGACACCATCATTTTACACTTACCTGCATAGCCCGTTTTTGATTAACTCTTCGTACCGGTGACCGGTCAATATATTGTTGAGTATCATTCTATAATTTTATAGATTTTTATCGATAATATGTAGTTAGTAAAAAAAAACATTAATATATGTGATTTTTTTTTGAAAATTCATAGTAGTTTTATTAATGCTTTTACTCTTTTTACTTAAACTAAAAAAATTATTAAATCATTAAAATGATTAAGTATTTAACAAAATGGTAACAGTGTTCAAAATTAGTGTGTAGGATTTAATATATTTGTTTAAAATTAATTTACTATTTATAACATTGTCATTATTTTGAAGCCTAAAAAGTAATTAACATTCAAAGTCTGGTTCATTTAAGTTTTAATTTTATCATTATTATCATCACTTAAACTTATAAGGTTACACTCAATTTAATTTTTGACATTGTTAAAATTATAAATTTGAACTATAGCAGGTATACGAAAATCTTACACTTTTGTAATATATTTTATGTTCAATTTCTGTTGTCTAACGAATAACGATCTCCAAAGCGTAGTAAAATTATAATTTATAATAAACTTATTATTGTATTTTTTTATCGTATTACTCAAACCAAAACAAATATAAGATTATAGACTTAAATATCCATAAACTATTTATGTTTTAAACTTTATAAACTTTAATAACTTGATTATAATATAATATTTTAAAAAAAGTTTGATAACACATTTTCTAAGACAACTTTGAGCAGGATTGTTTTGAGTATTATCCGAGATAAAAATCATTTCTGAATTAAGCATGATTAGATAGATAATACATATACATGCAAATAATTATGTTTCAAAAACAGCATTTTTTTTTGTGTGTATTAAAGTGTAGACTTAAGTTGTTTGATAAATTAATACAATTTAAAACTATTCTATTTCGTATATTATCTGATCATAAAAATTATGGTTTTGGATTTGCCCTTCTTATCCTTATGCTATATCCTTTTGGGGACAAATATTTATAATTATAACTAACATAATAATAATTTTCAAGTTATATTAATATATATATATATATATTTGTTTACAGATAATGCTACCACTGTTCATTGCGAGTTATATATTCGGAGTTTTGGATCCATTAGCCCGGTTACCATGGTAAGTACTCATGAAAATACTTATTAATGTATAATATTATCAAGTATATATTGTACGTCATATCTAACAGTAATATGTATGTATATTAAAGATAATGTATAATACATTAAGTACTAGAAATTGACCTAACCTAATCTAAAAAGTTAATAAATTAACGATTAGGTATACCACAAATCCATATTATGCATATGCCTAATGATTTCATTAGAATTACTCGTATTCACGAATACTATAAGGAATTTTAATTACAAACTGACAAAGTTCTTAAACAGTATAGTTATAATGTAGGTAGATATAGTAATATTCGTATTGCATGCAATATTTTTAAAAGGTATTATATAGAAATATAGATTAATCGCCATTAATAGGTACCTATATTAATATAATATTTGTTGAATATTATAAACTTCTTAAAATCATATCATTGTCTAACAATTATATTGAAATTATATTATATTTTTAATACATATTAGAAATATTGTTACCATGTAACTACAAATCTATTATTTTTTTTTTTAATGATTATTTGAGTATTAAAGGTGGGTTGTATTTTGCGAGTATACTTACCTGTAAATATCACAATTAATATTTAAATATATATATTTAGTTACGCCACTAATAAGTACTTTAGAAGTATTCAATCATGTTATTTTATTTCCAACAACTAGGCAATTATCGTTAAATGTGTTAACATTATTTAAAAAAATATATATTAGCGTTATCTACAAGTTTTCCTTAAATAACATAACATTTTGGCCATTTTGATTATTTTGTATTATTTCATATTTTTATTTTAAAATTAAATTATGCAATTATAACATAAATAGGTATGTTTTAAAAAATTATAAGAAACTGGTTTTGATTTAAAGTAATAATAACAGTCGCGAATAACATAAGACGTTAAAAATTATGAAATAAGGTATTTATATCGTTTTGTACTTATAAAATATATTCAAATATGTTTCGATGATTATGGACTTATGGTTAAGTGCGATTTACGTCATGATGAACTTATCGAATAAGTACGTTAGTAAAGGAAAAATATTACACGTATATAAAATGTATAAATGATTAACCTCGTAGTTTAACTAGGTTATAATTTTTAAGTCATCTAAAAACAAATACTTATACTTAAAACGTATAAAACGTACTGTATACTTATTTATCTGATAACATATTAAGTTGTCTTAAGTATTAAATTTTTATTAAGGCATTAAGTTAAAATGTTCTCATACCGATTTGTCTTCAATGAAAAAATTCATTTTTACCAACTCACAATAAATCCGACAACCATCGTATTATAGCACTCACATTTTATCATAAAAATTATTTTATAGATCTCTAAATTGTAAAAAAAATTTAATTTAAATTTTAACATTAACTTTAACCGTAGGTACCTATTACTATGTAAATAATGACTATAATATTATCAGTAAGGTATGAAAATCTCTTATCAAAAAAACAATAACATAAATACCCTTTAAAATGTTTTGCCTTAATAATTCATTAGGTACGTTTATCTGTGTATGACGTATGTATCGATGAGCACTGAAATACGAAAACATTTTAGCAAGCGCGATTTAACCGTAAAAAAATATTGAACCAGGATTGATTTTGGCTTTGATCGACTCCAGATTTTCTAAAAATGTTCATATAAAATTCTCTTATAGTAAAAATGCACAACATCCCGGATATTACCATTTTTATTTTCACTGCGCATCACATGAGCCTTTATTTTTTATTAATTAAACTCTGAAATTCCTGTATATTTAAACTTGTCCATAATGTGGCCCATATTTGTCGCCTTTTTAATCTGATATCATTCATCCTTGCTCACATACTTACACGATATGTATGAGATGTTTTCTTTCGATAACAATAATTATCGTTACAAAAAAAAAAAAATTGATGGAATCTTTTTTTTTAAATTTTTATTTATATATTGGAAAGAACGTGTTTGATACCATACAAAAATAATTAAATGATTGGTGTCCGCTCTTATATTCAGAGATTACCCTGTATCACATACTATTATAATTTCATAATATTTTAATTAGTAAATCAACAATAATGTATTATTATTCTTTTACCCTTGTTTTATTATAATAGTTAGTACTTCGTATTGTTTTTGAATGTTCCAATATTCTACACATTAATTTTTAAAATATTCACCGATTATTATTTATTTATTTTTCATTATAATTTAAGGAATATTTCTTATCCAATTACAAATAAACATAATATATCATCTTGTGTGGTATCATTACAAAATTCGTTATCAATTCCATTAGTTAGCTACTTAAATTTAATTAACAAATGATTTTAGAGATTGTTCATTATTAAATCCAGTTCACTTAACTATTACCTACACTTTCTGAAACCTCTTGTACTAGTCTACGTACTTCAGTTGTACCACCTTAGAATTACGATTTAACTCATTAACGATAATCGAGTAATGCTTATAAACGATAATGGATGAGTATGTCCATCAGCCGGGCACGTATTTGTTATTGAATGCATATACCCTAGCTTAGGCTACTACACTTTTCAGCGCTTGGGTCATGTGGTCTAAAAATGCTCGTCAACACCCATCCTTCATCCTCAAAAATACACGACTATTTCGTTAATCGTATTGGTAAACAGTCATCACAAACAAACGTCGTCTAATGATCAGAGGGAATTGCATTTTTATATCCACCGACGCATAGGCACATTCGTGTATAGGTACCCCATCAGTTTTTTGCTTCTCTGAAAATCATGACAAGACTATACAAACCGTACGTGCTCAGGGTTCAAAAGGCCACAGCCTTGTGATTACCATTTACTTAATCTACACCTACCAGGATTCCAAACAGCTTTACGACGATAGTTTCAAAATGGTATAGGTTCATCTTGTTCATCCGTCCAAAAACCATTTGAAAACAGAGGTTTAAGATTCAACCAAAATAATTTATGTTTTATCTTTCGTCAGTAATGCTAAAACCTAACATAGTTTCTTTAATATATTTGTATAGGTACTAACCTTGTGGATCTGTACTGAGGTAAACATGTGCATAGAGCAAAAATGGCAACGGATATTCCTGGGTACCCCACTATCCCTAACCACCACATTATTATTCATAATTTCTTGTATATTGCAAACAAATTATAATTTTTATACAGGACAAACGTTCAGACATAGATTATATAATGTCATCCGTAATATATAGGTTTAGTAGTAGGTTTAGTTAATAATTAAAATACTGATAAAAAAAAATTAATATTAGGTAATAATATATTTTTTTCATAATTTATTATGTATCATTTTTACTTCATCAAAATTAAAAAAAAATTACTTATGTATTTCAAATAAAATATAACCTATCAAATAAAAACTCAATTATGTATGATAATGTAAATTACCATAGGCTTGGTGTGTTGCATATTCAACTAGATCGCTAATCTTTTTTTACCTATATATATGTATATAATTTATCACAATTTCAATATAGATATCAGCTTACATTTACAATTATTAAACAAGTATTCTTAAAGGGTTAAAAGCATGAGCATTTATGTAAATATATTATGTATATACATAAAAAAAAAATGACTCTTTTGATGTTTCTGTTTTTGTCATGAGTTGGTTGGTAATTTATGGTATGATAGTTTTATTCTTAAACATTGTTAAGTGTACACTATCAACTAACGTTATCATCGCATGGTAGTGAATAAATTAATTCCGTCTGAAGCTTTCTACTACAAAACGACGCACATTTATACTTTGCGCTTATTCTAGTCCTGACCAATCTAATTTACCTAACCTGCCCTACTCATTACGCAATATCCACTATAGGTGTAGATTTAAATAAGTATATACTTTTGTTTACGCTAAAGATTTTTTCATTTCTCATTGGAGTATATTATCAATAAAAAAAATCTGACTACAGTTTACTTAAAGATATTAAATTGCATTTCTTATTTTATGATTATATATGTGTATATAAAATGCATATAATAAATCCATTAGGTTCTGTTCAGATAGAATTAGGCTGAATACTAGTCTAATTCTGTCGGAACATACATTTTAATGGATCCGATATGTATACGTTTAAGTTATCTACGCATATAATTATACTGCAATATATTCAATTCCATTTAGTCTTTAACAATTAAATCGCTTATTCATTTAATTCCATAGACATTATATTATAAAATGTTCAAACATTTTATTAGCTTATCATTATAATTGATTATATAGTTACACTTCTGTGCAATTTGTAGTAAATAACATACTTATACGATTGAATAATATTAAAAAAGTTTAGTAAGCCGTACTCAACGTACTCTCTTAAACAGACTCGTTGTAAGAATTTAATTGAAAACAATATTTTAGTAGTATTATATGACCTAACTTACTTAATAATTATTAGTTACGACAATATTTAGCCTCTTTAACTCGTATTTATGTACAGTTTGGCATTATATATACACATAATAATATGGGCACCATAAATATACGCTGAACTTTATTCTCTATTAATGGAATCTGTGAAGTTTTATAATAAATAAAATATGCTGCATATATAGAGTTTTTTTTTTAAATGTATAATGTTTCTATTGATATGGGTTAAACTCAATTTCTTACATTTGTCTTTTTTGGCAAAACAGTTGTTTGCGTTTGTCAATGTAAAGATACAATTTCACTTTCAACATAAAATCAAACTAATAMATACGTCATTTTGAATACAATAATAAACAGTTAATAAATATGTAGTAAGGTTTTGATTTTCATCGCATCTGTTCACAAAATGTTTAGTCTTAAATTTTAAATCGATACATTATTTCTATTTATATAAAAACTTTATTCATCAATATTCAAGTTAAATCCATGCAATTATATGCAACCTGTTAAAAATAAATCCTTATTCTTTCACCAAAAATTGATAGGATATTCAGTAAAAAAGTGATTTATCTCGATTTAAAATTATTGGACCCATCATCGATCGAATATTAAAGGT